ACACACACACACACACACACACACACACACACACACACACACACACACGTGTGGTGTAGAAGATTAGCTGCCTACAGAGAACAGTCGCTCCTCCATTCACAGGGGGATTTGCCTCCCACAAAACAAACAAAAGGTACGCAACTTCTTTGTGCAGATACACGCCTCTGGAAAATTGAGATGTCACTGATTTACCGAAATACGCTGACTTTTTTAGTGTGAAAATAGCTTAACATGTGGCTGGACAGCTGTGTTTGGGAGTGTAAATATGGGCATGGATGTGCTCATTCTCTATGGGAAAGTACAGGATATTTAATAAAATACATAAGGGATTTGGGAACAGGATAGCAGGTGGGCTGATTCATGTATATTAGATGTCTAAACATGACAGTACATGCCTTGGCTTGCACACAACGTTAGCTTGTTTTAGCTGACGGACATCTCTCACTTCAACCTTCACCTCTTTCGACAGAGGACATCTGAGCCTTCAGGGAAACCAGCTGCTGCTCAGTTTCTCGCTAACATAATTCGCCTGATGGAAGTAAAACCACTTCATGACTAATGGTGGGAAACTTGAGGCTATATCAGTCTAGCGACTGTGTTAATTAATCCAGTGAGGAGATAACAGGTAATTAATAGCATTGTGCTGCAGAATGTTATCACTTACACTCTGTCTGCCCTGCAAACCAACAGACTGGAGCTCATTAATGCTCCGACAAGTTCGACTGTGATGATGGAGGCGGAAAAATGACTGATCTCGGAAGAGTTGCAAAGGACCATTGCGTCTTGTGATTTGAACAATGGTGTTCAACTTGAAACGTGTTCATTGTGAAATCTCGGTGAATCGTTGGGATGATTTGAGGGACAAATTAGTTTTTTGTGTGCTGCTTTCAAGGACTCAGACGTATACCATACCGTTGACGTGAGGAAAACGCTGCCTCTGAAATGTCATCCGAGTCCTGATTTGGAGGCGGGATCCTCTAAAGTTTCCTTCGTATATCTAGAGCAAATTTGTCCTTAAGGGCCAAGAAAGCCTGTGAACTTGTCAATTGGTCTATATAATGAAGCTCTTAGGTAATGCTGGTCAGCTTGTAAAGGCAGAGGATGTAACGTAAACATGTCGTGTGTGTCAGGTTTTTGTGTTCAGGGGGTGATCAATAATCTAGTAAATCTATCACATGAAGTGGACCAATGGGAATGTCACTGGAGGATGTAAATGATGGAAGTCGGGCATTACCGTTCACCGTTTATTCTTCTGAGCAGCCCGGCTATCTTGTGAACCAGAGGGTGTTACAAATAAATGGAAGTTATATGATCACATTTACCATTAAACGGATTCCCCGTTTGCCATTCGTCAATTGTGTGTGTAAGTGAAATGTCACAACTCCGACTGTAACCTCAGGTGCGATGGAACTTAGTCGGCCGTTTAAGGTTAATTTCCTGAGCTATCTGACTTTGTAATTTGACAAGGGACACTTGAATGCACCATTAATTTTGTTTTATGTGCTTGACCCACCTTCATGGGCTGCATCCGTCAAAGGAATCGGCATCTGTATAAAGATCGACATTGGCATCTGCACAGTGTTTTAGCTTCTTTCTGCTTAGTGTGTTAATTTCATGGTCGACACATATGCCATATCAACTCCATAAGTGATGATTTGTCAATGCTTCCCCAAAGTAGCCAAAAAAAGAAAAATCAATAAATGCAGGTTTAAACATAGGAAACACAAATACCTTTTACACCCCGTTCATCACTCATTCCAACTCCTCCCATTAGTGGGCCGCTATAAATCCCCTTAACTCATTTTATACTATCTTCCACTACCTTTATAAAGCAACATTAAAAGACCAGTGTGGACGGTGTGTGTTTTAACTTGTAATCCACATAAAGACAAGTTTCAATAGCTACATGTTAGACAGTACGGATGGTTTGAATGTTAATTTTGAACCCATCATTGGTCAGCAGGCAGAGGTGAGACAAGCGACTTCATGGATATTGCAGTTCTTACCAGTTGCTGGTCTTGGGGTCCCCAGCCCGCGTACTGCAGCTGAGCATTTCTGACCTCTGGAGGGTTCAAGTTCCACGTCGCCCTGGGGTGCACAGACAGAGGAAACAACGCTATCAGACAGAAGTGCAGACACATACACACAGTGTCTGCTCCTAGCGCTGCTGGGGGAGAAGAACAAGTGTAGCACATCTGAGAACGAAGGTTTAAGTGTATCCATAAATACCGGTGCTCTATAACAGTGTCACCTCTCCTTATTGGGAAAAGTGCTGCGCAGTGCAGGCTGCAGAATTAGAGGTGCCGCTGCATCTATGTCTTTGTCTGAAGCTGAGAACGAATGAGGTCATTAGCTGAGGTCAAATTTTTTGCACATCACCACGAGGTGGCAGCACACAAATGGACTTGAGTGCGAGAGCTCCTAACAGTGCTGTAATACTGTGACCTGGTGTGGAGGTCATTTCAAAGGTAAATAAGTGATGTGTCATAACATAACAGCTGCCATAACATGTATCGGCAGCTAATCAATACCGGTTGATGAAGCGCTATAAGGTCTGGCTTCTTGCAAACGTGCGTCATGATTTTGTATCGCTTGTCAGGAGTGAGAATGAACATTTTCAGCTACTTTTTCATGTGTTTTTAACAAAAAGGAATGAAGATCAGAGAGGTGAAATTGCAGCAAAGACTGCAGACTTGTTATGCTTCAGTAATGCATGTTCCTTCCTCCAGGCATTTCAACCGGCCAGATGTAAGATCTAGATGTCACAACAAACCCATTGCCACCTGCCATTTGAGGTCAGACATTACTTATCAACCCTTTCACCTCACAGAGCGGTAAAGAACTGGAAGTAAACTGTTTAGTTGATGTCGCAGGTGCTTTGTAGGAGGGAATGAGTTGCTCTCAGAGTCACAGGCAGCAAGGTCAGGCGAGGCATTATTGGACAAGATAAGGAAATTCAATATCAATGGAAACAGGCAGGCTTGTCGCCTACTTACGGAGTATCCAGACTGCAGATGATGTAGAAGGCCGTGTAGGAGTGCTGGTACACCTGGAAGAATAGGCAGCAGGAAAGGATTCAAAACAGTAAATGGAAGGACGGTTTGTTTGTGTATTAGTATGCGGCCGCTGTTTATTATGAACACCCGCGATCCCCACCACATGTTACAGAGATGAGGTGTGCATGAGTGTGCATTATGTGCTGCCACGTTGAGCGTAAAGGAGGAATGACTGTCATCTATCAAGGCGATGGGAGGTTTAGATGGAATAATAAATGCAAACAAACGCAGAGAAACACACTCGGCATCTCTAGAGTGTCGTAATATGTTCTGTTCATCTCGGGCAATAACACAAGGTTATCCCCCTCCCAGCATCTTTCACTCACCAACAACGGGCACAAACTCTCCGTAGTGACTCAGTGGCGAAGCAGAATGAAGTAAACACACATAAGATTCAATACATCTTATCTACCTATAGTAGGAGCTGAAATGCTTTGATGCATATCAGGGCGTTGGCAGAGCTCATGTAGTCACGGGACACTTTATTCAGAATTTGCCAGAAATAACAAATTCCCAGCCAACACTTCCTGTTCCTCCTGTCGAGCTCGTCTCCCTCCCTGCAAGCCCGTTGCAGCGCCGAGGGGTTTGTTTGTGTTCCTGCCTCCCTTGCTACAGTTCCGCACGGCTGTGCTGGACCCCGCCGCAATCGCTGACAGGCAGCGGTGTGCGACAGGCCTTCACAACCCGCCATGATTACTTTCTCCCCCCTCCCTCCCTCCTTTCTCCCCTGCCTTTCATGCACAATATGTGAGCATACCCCCCCCGAGCCCACCCCACGGTGCAGGCTGCTGACATATTTGGCTGTCAGTTTGCTAATTCAAAAAACAAGCAAACAAATGAGAAGCTCACCGGTGCAACGTTGTAGGCCAGCAGCACATGCTTCATGTCAGGAGACACCTCGTACTTGCTGGCTTTGTACATTTCCTGAGAAGCAAAGGCAGATGTAAGCAGGGGGAAAAAGATAAAATGATGAGACCTTTAACCATGCGTGGTATTTTTTCATTAAACTAGTCCTTAAATGACTGCGTTTGACGGATTGCTCGGCTCCTGAAGCAAATGGGAGTTGCATTAATCTTTGCACTAGGGCTTGGCAATTTGATGGCGGACATAATGTTGTGTGTCGTCACCCAGGCTGCCGCAGCACTGATGCTACATCTCCATTTCCATCTCAACGTTACCCCCACATAACCATGCCCTGAGTTGTAACTATGCAGTTCACATTCCACAGCAATAGTGGATCATTTGATTAAGCTTTGTAATAAAAAAAAAAAAAAAGAGCTTTGGGTGCTTTGATTTGCTGACACTATAAGAAAAGTTTTAATCTAATTCATGGGCAACCATGGGCAGTTCTTTAGTCCTGTGATTGTGAGAAAGTAAAGAGAGAAGAAACGATGACAAAAGACTTACAAACTTCTTGTTATGCACCAAGATGGTCTTTTCGTCAGTGTCGACGTTGAACTTGACGACGTCGCCTTCACGATTACGGTATAGTAGCTCATTACCTGCAAGGAAAGGGAGAGAAACAGATTTCAGATGTTGTTGGAGGGTCTTATTAATTAATCGGCTACCTCAACAAGTGCAACAAAAAAGAATGCGTCACCATGTGGCATGTTTGGCGGATTCAAATACTGAAGCAGGGCTTGGATAGCAAGGCTGTGCAGTTACTCGTATCATGATTGTGATCACAATTTTGGCTTCAGCAATGTATTAAACTTTATCGGTTTGCAATTATACAGCCTTGTTATGTGTGAAGGTTTGTCAAATCAAGTGCTCCCAAGTCAATTAAACCTGTCTGGCCAGTAACAGGCGTAGTGTGATCGAACACCTTCAGCTTCCAAAACACAACTGCAGCTGCAGGTCAGGCTGCCGGGTGGAACGTTAACTGTCACTAAACATCCAACATGACATATACTTTGTTTTAAAGAGAGTATTGTTGTTACTTTAATTTACAGATTTGTTCATTTGGAATTAAAAAAAAAATTTGAATAAAATATTGCAAAATCCTGATTGGTGCATGGAAGCACATAACATCATCATTTTTCAAACGAACCCGCCCACTTGGAAGCAGTTGGAAGAGCTCAGAGAAAAACACAAATGCACTCATCTCTAATAAGTAAAACAGTTATTGCGCGTTCATGTAGGACACAATCGATAATTGAACACATTCTCGCTCCCAAATTATCCAATATCGTCGCTTGGTCAGCGTCCCTACACTTCAAACTACGTCGCTCTAGGTATTAGTTCTCTCTAGCATTAGTTTTGGACAAAACAGGGACGGCGTGTCAGTTTCCGCTCGTTGCATGCATAGTATATTTTTCAAAATAAACTTCCAACGTAGTTTTACTTAGTTCTTACTTACTCATGCAACACAACGACTTGCTTTGGTTTAGGCATCAACAATAGCCCCTTTCACAGAGAGATTTTTCAATACCGCCAAGAAGAAGACCCACCATTACGCCGGCTTTGCTTTTTCACACTGAACCAAACAACGGTTGCACATTGCCGCCCCACAGTGTGATTTCAGCCAGCATCACGGGAGCCAATACCGGCGTCTGGGTCTATTGTGACGAATGACATAAGCATCGGGCAGCAACTTGTTAAGGTCCTCTACTCGGTGAGTAAGGAGCTTCTGGACCTTGTTGTTTCCCAAATTTGCAGCCATTTTCGGTTGCTGTGGTTAGTTGCTAACTGTTGCTCGCGGGGGTTTTTAAATCTCCCTGGTTGTGGCGCTCAAATAACACGTTGTCAGCATCATTCGCCGTGGGCCACTTACCAAACAACGATATTTAAGAGTTGAAAGTGACAACAGGTTAGTTATAATAGGAAGCGAATTGAGGAAGGTCTTTAGTAACACTATATAGTCCTTCGCACAATGCACAGAATGTGAGTGACATTTTTGCCCAAAGGTAAACGGTAGGTTTAACAACAGTGCTCGAGAATCTGACCTATCCGCCAACGCACAGCTTTCAATATGCCCGAATACGAAAGCTTCCAGCACAAACACAGTGGGTTCAGGCCACTGGAGAAAACCCTTGAAGGGAGCCATTATTTGAAAGACGTATGAAAGTTCATACAGCTTCTCATCCATCAGGCTTTTATCAGGGAAGGATAAGTTTAATACAGCAGCTGCCCCCTTTCACCTTCAATCTATCTGTGCTCCTCTGTCTTATTGCTTTTGTGATCCATAGGCGCATGAGCAACCACTCATGCGCCAAACCACATTTGGCGAGGTAATTAGAACCCAGAGATTGTTATGCAGAGTGCTTTCTATCTGCGACCATATCTAATTGACCATTAGAGGTGACAAAATTACCATCACAATGGCTTTAATTCAGAACGTGTAGGGAAGAGCAGTTTCAGACATTTTAGATTGGCATAGCCAAACGCCCCCTCAACAGCTATTGTCTACTCGTTGAAAACCATCGGCATACTAACAAGTGTATAAAATGGACTCCTCCATGGACATCTAGGAGATAAATAAAAGATTGCTTTTTTTTAAACATGCTCCATTATCTTAGTTTGACTCCGTTTGGCATCTTGATAAACGTTCTACTTTTATATATGAAATGGTAATCGCGGACGATGGGGCTTGAATGCATAGAAAGAAAGACACCATGGTGACAAATCGGTGGTCAAAGAGATTGACTGGACTTTATCTTGCTTCGTGACTCGCTCTGTTTTCATCATCATGCTTCATATTAAACTTAGAGACTTGCATCTCTTTAGGGCACCTTTTGTTCCATCTTTATTACTCACTGAATCGCTGATCTCCTTTATCCACACGCCCCAAGACACCTTAGATCTCTCAAAACCTTCCCATCGCTGCCCCTTTATATGCCTCCTGCTGAGTTCATCATTTTAGACCTCATCATCCCTCCTTCACCTCTCCAACTCTTTGTTTTCTGCTCTTTCAAAGACCGAGAGCCATCTATCCTTTCACAGTACCCTAAGGCATTATGTCTTCCCTTCAATCTATCTCTTTCTAGCACTCTCTCTTTTTCTTTCCCCTCTACTTTAACTCGCTGTGCATTAGCCCAGGGCGCTGTTTTCTGCTCTGATCTATACCTTTCCACTGCAGTATGTCTTATTAATACAGCCTGCTGCCCTGGGCACAGCCCTAACCCAGCCTCACTCCAGGGAGGCAGAGGGAGCACCGGGAAGAGGGAAGAGTGGGAGGCAGAGGGAGCACCGGGAAGTGTGGGAGGCAGAGGGAGCACCGGGAAGAGGGAAGAGTGGGAGGCAGAGAGAGCACCGGGAAGAGTGGGAGGCAGAGGGAGCACCGGGAAGAGGGAAGAGTGGGAGGCAGAGATACGAGGCGACACACTCCAATGGGACAAAGAAAGAGAGACGGAATAAAAATTGAAGAATATTTATGGAACAGCCTTTTATCTGTGAAACGGATTAAGAAATAAGCCAAGCCTATATTATGATTATTGTTTATTAGAAAAAACAACAACATTGATAGTGTATAAAAGCTTATAGTTATTATTCCATTCTTATAGGCAACATGCATAGCAACATTTTTTAAAAACATGTTTCTCCCATAATCAGTACATCGTAATTATATACGAGATATATCCCACCACCTTATCTGAAACTCTGATCCCCACTACATACGTCTACGAGATTTGTGTACCTGAACGGTTTCATTGTACAGTAGGCCTCATTAATGCTGCAACCAAGCCTTTTTTCCCCATGTGCAATATGACGGCTTAATTAGCCTGAGAAAACGGTGCAGAAAGACGAGTTGATCGGCTTCCACTTCAAGGAAATCCACTCCAGTTTCTTGAAGTGGAATTCTACTGCACGGTAACATTGCTCATACTACTGTCTTCTCATTCCTCCTTCACCATTCCCACTTAACCCTTTCTTGAAGGCACAATGGTGGTCACATCATTCAATGCAGTCAGTGTTCTCCTGAGTGTCTTTAGTTCCTGTTGAGATGGTTAAAAACACTCCACGGGAGCACTGTGAGAGTCCTCAACAGGTACTTTCTAACAGAAAAAGTATCCGGCTGATCGGTTGGATTAGCAAAAAAGAGAAAAATGTTGTGGTTGTTTCTTTGTCTCACAGAACATCATTCTCCTTCGGAGTAAACAGACATTTTTTTATGATTTATATTGGGTTGGGTACAAATGAGTGGGACACAACATGATGAACATCTACGTAAGCTCTGAAAATACGTACATTCATCAACATCATTACTGTAATTGTGGTGAAAAATTTGCCAAGCATGAAATTGGGACAATACCGGACAAACCGCGGTGTCTGGTCACCGTACGCTGTACCCTTCCACGACAGTGGGACACGCTCTCATGCACTAAACATGCACTAAAAGGCCGACCCGGCTATGTAAACGAAGCACAGAGACACACAGACGTCATTCTCTGCTCAGGTAGACATTACTCCACGATATCTTTACATTGAAACTATTTGACTGCTGCTATGTTAATGCTCTTAATGTTGTATAGAGAACCATGAAACTCAGGATTATTCCTGTCGGTAACAGGTCATTGGTCTGGACTGGTCTTATAAAAGCGACACAAGCTACGGGGGAAGAATTATGGTGTCTGTCTGTGGGTAAACTAAGTCTCCAATGCGGTAACACAGTCTTAAATCTTCGCCACCCACTGGCTTAGATTTACTGTGAAATATAGGTTCATAAAAAATTCAATAGGTATTTTAATTAAAAAGCTCCCTCTTATATATTTCTCGTAATTTACTTTCATTCGTAGATGGTTCTTGAAAGGGAATTACACATAATACCGTGTGTGTTTATTTCCACTGTACTGGCAACACCACAACATTTGAATTGTATTTTTGTGCAGCTTGATGAATGGGCATGCAAATACATGAATGGCAGAGCTAAGAAATGAGAGGGAAATTTCAAGTATGAACCTGCTGACAAGCCACCCAGGGCTGCTGCCAACTTGCTGCTGCTGGCCAGTTTTCACAGCGGAAGTCATTTATGTTTATCAGGAATGCCAATCAGCGGGTGCCTGCTGGTTTCATTACTCACTGCCTCTTTCCTGCTTCTGAGTTCACCATTAAGGTTGGAAAAAAAACATGGCACATTGCACAGCCATTTCTGTTTCACGCTGGTTAGCTTCTGAAATATAGATAATGTTTTTCTCCATCTCATTATTTGGTTTATTTAGATGTTCCATGCCTTAAGGCACCAGGGGTCCAAGCTAAATTCTAATCTTAAAAGAGAAAACTATTGACATATACAGTACCTCCATCACATTTGCATTATGTTCAAAGGACGGCACTCACTGGACCGTCAACATCAGGGTCCTGGAAATATCTAGCTTTAGAAATTAGAATACCTCTTTAATGTTCCACCCTCCTAAAGTAAAAAGAGTGCCACCAAAACCTTCAAGTTCACTCCTTATTGTGGACTGCAGAGCACACTATGACACAGAATGTGCAGATAAAATCCCCTTTGACATAAAGCCATGCACATAGGTCGGCTTGTTTTTTTTATATTGCATCCTCAATT